GACACCTTTAGTTACAGAATTTATAAAGGCCCAACTCAGCATTTTCCTACAGGCTGGAACTCAGTTTTGGGATGAGAAAATGAGTAATGAGCTGGTTGAAGGACGATTGAGTGGCTCTGCCTTTGACAGGTTAGTATCATGAGGTGGTATCTGATCTTTAATGCCGCCTAAAGATTTAGATATTCTCGCCTTAGATGCAAGTCTAGTGCCCCAATTATATTTATTTTATTTACTATTTAAAAAATTGGTTGATTTCTTTGTTTCTTTATGGATTGTTATTCATCATGTCTCTGACATTCAGTTTTTGGAAATACTGACTTCAAACTCTAAGAAAATTTCCCAACCGAAATTCTTGTTTCTAATTCTCATTCTTTCTAGTTCTTCCTTTTTTTTAAAAAAAAAAAATATATCTCTTTTTCTACATCTTCTATTACTCTTAATCTATTTGTTCTTTACTTGTGCTGCATCAGGTCTTAAGGTCTAAAGGTCTATAGTTCAATTAGTTTCTAATTACGATCAGTGATATTCCAAGTGGAATAAATCTGTCTAAACTGGAGTAAAATGCAAAGCATGTTCTTTTCTTTTAAGGCTGTTTGTAAACACGTCATTAGCAAAAATTCATGTCAGGAATGTTTTTCTATTATTATTGATTATAATGATGCATAATTATATGATCAGGTACTGCATGGTGCTTTTTGCTGGTATTGCTGCTGAGGCTCTGGTTTATGGTGAGGCAGAGGGTGGGGAGAATGATGAAAACATGTTTCGCAGCATCTGTGTCCTTCTGCAACTCCCATTGTCTGTAGCTCAGGTACATCGACAATGATTTATTTTCATACAGTTACTCCATTAATAGGTACTAATTATTCTCACATAGAGAGAGAAAAAAGATGCTAATGATTGGCTTTCATTACCTTTGAGAAGATGTCAAATCAAGCAAGGTGGTCTGTTCTACAGTCTTTCAACCTGCTTAAATGGCACAGGCATGCTCATCGAGCTGCTGTCACAGCTTTGGAAAGTGGTGTTAGTCTTAGTATTGTAATGAAGAGAATTGAGGAAGCCATGTCTTCTGGCAGATGATGTGCAGAAAGTACATAAACATGCTGGTTTCTGTGGTCCAATGGTGCTCGAGGTAAATGTCCTATTTGCACTTATAGGAAGGCTTAAATAACCAGTATTTCTCCATTGTCTCTGCTGTACAGCTCGACATAGTGAACTGAGGGCATGGAAGTTCTGAAGCATTACTCTGATTATCATTCTCTACTCTATTTCTGTACCAAATACTAATTGCATCCGTCATCAATTGTTAGAAAGATTTTCCTCGGCTGATAGGTGTCTTACAAGGAGAATGAATGACAAATTTTTATGTAGTTCCCAAGATATATCCCAACAGGCTACAGTGGATGGAGGGCACAAATTTTGGTATTCAGCTGACCATTTTTGTCATATGTAGTCTAAAAGATGGTTCCTCTTGGTATCTTAGCTGCATTTAGACTGCAAATGTGAGCGAAGTCTCTCAAATTCTCATCTTTTTATAAACATTTTAAGATCAGGGTGCTATTTTTTCCATCACTGTTTTGGTTGGAAGAATGTTAGGTTTTGAGCCATGGCCTCTTGATTGTACCCCTAATTAAATTAATGCTGACTTAGCTTTTGTACTAATCAAGCTACCTCCATATTCTCTTAGAACAAAGCTACAACATTTTGTACATGACCTTTATTTGTAAAAGTTGTCATTTTTTGGCCAAATTTGCAAATGTTGTCATTATTTTCCATTAGATGACACTTGGTGGGATTGATGTAGATGCATGTTTTATTGTGATGAACTTTCTTAGTGGGAAACTTCAATATCAAAGTTTGCCTTAAGATCTTTTTAATCCAAGGCTACCCCTTGAATTTTCTCATACAATTCTGGTACCCAGTCTCTCGAGTCTTACGCCTTGTGTGGATAGAAAATAGTAAAGGGAAGGGAAGGGAAGGGAGGGGAAGGGAGGAAAATAAAAGGAAATGGAGGGAGAGGAAAAGAAAGGGAAGGGAAGAAAATAGAAGGAAATGATTTATGTTAATTTTGTTTGGATAAATAAAAATGAGAAAGGGGAAGGAAAGGGAAGAATTGTATTATTTTATGTTTGGATAATTAAGGTAAAAGGAAGGGAAGGAAGGAAAGGATTTAAATTAACTTTAAATTTACAAATTTACCTTTTAAACTTGTAATGGAGAAGGATATAATAAAAAAATTAAGGTTAATTTTGTAATTACATTTAACTTAATGTAAACAGTCACTCAAATCCCTCTCAAACCTCTTAAATCGGGCGGATTGCAAATCTGTAGATTCGAGAGCGATTGAAGGGAGTCTGAATCAGTCCATCTCCCTCCCCCTTTGCTTTTTTAGAAACCCAAACAGGAGGAAAGATACAGCTCCAACTCACTCCCCCTCCCTTGCCATCCGTCCCCATCCCTTCCCTTCCCTCTCCGTCCGACACCTTCAATCCAAACAATACCTTAAGTCCACAAAGGTTAAATGATTCTTTGGGAAAACTAACGAAAGTTGTCCGTAACAAATAGTAACAAGAGGTGATGCAGACTTCAATGAAGTAAAGCCATGCTCGTCTCCAATAGGGATTTATGTGCAGAACTACTGCGATTGCCATCACTGCAGCAACATAAGTTACCACAAAGCTCCAGTAAAAATACGCATGTCAATCAAACCATTGTTTTTCCTGTTATAATTTGTCACATTGGTCAAAACTAATGATGATTCAATTTTGGTGCAGTTGATCTGTAGTGGAGCTCCACAGAGGAGAGGATTTCCTTCATAGCTACTGTCATCAAAGGTCCCAAACAGAGCTTTTTGAGCAGGGGTTGGTCCTAATAAGTTGTTGTATGCAACAGAAAACACAGCCAAGGTGTTTAGCTCAGTCAATTGAGGGGGGATTCTCCCATTCAAGTTGTTATAGGAAAGGTCCAAACTTTCAATCTGCTTCAAGTTTGAAAATGTAGAGGGAATTAGTCCTGTTAGCCTATTGTGTGACAAGTTTAGCACATGGATCTCATTTAAGTATCCAATTTCAGGTGGGATCCTTCCCGTGAGATGGTTGCAAGATAAATCAATACCAGACATGTAACGAAGGACGCTTCCATTGTAAACATATGACATGCTCTTTGTTGTAAACTCTACCTAATTTTCCACTTCAATCTCATTTCCATATGTCACAAAGTAGTCGAAATTCTCTGTTAGCTTTTTCTTCCATATGTTTGACAGTGAATTCATCACTACTGCTCCACCTTCGATCATCCAATAACAAGTCTAATTTGAAAAAACTAATGCCTCAAATGTTAAATTACTAAGATAGAAAGGTATAGAACCAAAAAGATTATTTTGAGAAAGATCCATCATTTTTAATCTGTTCAATTGGCATAGTTGAACAGGAATTTCACCTTCAAAATAGTTAGCTTTCAACAAAAGAATGCTCAATGATGGTAGGCTGCCAATCCAACCAGGAATTATACCAATTAGATTGTTCCTTGTAAGGTCCAGTACTGTTTCCAGAGAAGAGCAGCCAGAGAATGCTTTTGTTAATGGCTCGGTAAATCTATTGTTGTTGAAATGAATATATGTTATTGTAATTGAATTAAAGCATTCTGGGATAGAGCTAGACAAATAGTTGTCTGACAGATCAAGAACTGCAAGGCTATCAAGGCCACAAAACTTTGCCAGAATAGGACCCTCAAAATGATTTTTGAACAAAAATAGCCCGTACAAGGATGACATATTTCCCATCCATCTTGGAAGCTTGCCTGAGATTTGGTTATTGCTTAGGCATATAATCCATGGTGAAAAAGAGTTGACAGATGGAAACTCAAGTATCTCTCCAACAAAGTTATTGTCGCTTAGTCATAAGAGAAGTAAGTATCTTAACTTGAAAAGAAGAGTAAATATTTGTCCCTGCAAATTATTGCCCGACAATATGAGAAATCGCAAGGGGCAACCTAGAACTAGCAGTTATGTTATTTCTCTAGACAATCAGTTGTTTGACAAGTCTAAAAAGGTTAAGGAGCTCAAAGGACCTAAGGAATTAGGGATACTTCCAGAGAAATGATTGTTTGATAACCGTAAAGACACTAATGATTTCATATCACCCAAAGAAGTAGGAATTTGATCTTGAAAGGAATTTTTGGACATGATTAAGTCTGTAAGATGGCGAAAGACTGAACTCATGTTTATAGGAATTTTTCCCAATAAACCATTCCTAGTTACATCTAAGATTGTAATGTCGAAATGAGCTTGTGATGGCAACTGCAAAGGTCCTAAAATAGAGTTATATCCTAGGTTGAGTACTTCTAATCCTGTATTGTTAAGAAAAAACAAAAAGGGAAACCCCCAAGGAAGGTGGTGGGAGAGAGAAAAAAAACCAAAAACAGATTGGGGAGAGAAAAAAAAGAAAGAGGCTCTTAAAACAAAAGAAAAGAGACACAAAAAAATAAGAGGAAAAACCGGAGAGAGAGAGTGAAAAAGAGGTTCTAGCATTAAACTGTTATCATCGCCAATAAGGACCTTAAGCCTGAAGTGGTTGGCAAACATCCTAAAGGAAATTGGGACTTTAAAATTGTTACTTGAAAACGAGAGATATGCAAGTGATTTCAAATTAAAAAAAAGGCTAGTGGCAATATTTCCTGTGAAATGGTTAGACGATACATCCAACATCTAAAGATATGACAAGTTTCCCAAACAGGAGGGAAGCATTCCCTGAAAATTATTTATAATTAAATCTAACTCTTCAAGGTTCTTCAGTTCACACCATCCTGTAAATATCAATTATCGACAAAGAAAAAAAAATAAAATTACTAACACAAGAAATAATAAGAAACAAAGAAATGAGGAATTGTTACATAAAATCAAAATTCTAATGAGAAGATTATATGCATATACATATGTATTGATAAGCAAGAAGATTATATATTTTACCTTGATTGGGTAGGGTTTCATTGAGCTCACAGTAGGACACAGACAAAATTTTAAGAGAGCTTATCATTCCAATGCTTTGAAGAAACTTATTGTGAAGAGAAGATCTATCCAAAAGCAATTCTTCCAAATCCTTGAAAGTGTGACTATCTAAAAATTAAGTATTTAGTTATTATTAGTAGTTTGGATAAATTGAGATAATGTACAATAGAAAAACTAAAATAAAGGTAAGCATTTCCTTTTCTCTTTTTTTTTCCTCTCCTTTTTGCTTGTTTGCATTACTTACCTATAGCAGTCAGTGGTTCTATAGATGTACTAGCAGTAAGATAAAGGGTCTTAATTAAACGGAATGCCTTGATTGATTGTACTAGACAGCTTCCACAAGTGTTATTGTTCCATCCTAGATTTAGCACTTCTAGCATACTCAAACTTCTTGTATCTACAAGCAAAAGAGGGAATCATGATAAGTTATAAGGCAACAGAGATGTGTTCTTGTAGCAAACTCATGATCTTTTAAAAGGGACATATGCTTTATAGTAGCCCATGCAAAAACAACCCTAAAAGTTCTGCTTGAACTTGAGCTAAATTTTTCCTTATTGATGTTTAAGTAAATTATAGTTTAAAAAAAAAATTACGAGTATGAAACCAATGCATTAAGTATTCTAATTCTTTGGAACAACTTCATCTTCATGAAGCCCTGTATCCCATTGTCCCTCAAGAAAAGACTCTTCAACTTTACAAAGGGGGAGAATAGAGAAGAATTCAAATACCAACCATCGAATTCCGAATCCCTAGCATGATTAAGAGAGAGCAGGATCACTCTCTTTGTTGTGACGTTGCATTCAACACCTACCCATTTACAACAATCACCATGCCCCTCTTCAAGGTGCTAGAGAATTGCCATTTGGGGGCGAGATTGAATGTTTGAGGTTTAAGAGGGCAATTCTCTTTTCCTCCAAACACCCACAACATCAAGAACAATACCACCCACTTACCAAAACCAACATTACAATTGTTCCAACCCATTTTTCCTACATCCTTTGTTCTTCGTTTTCGGCTTGAAGCAATGTAGCTCCACTCCATTTCCTTCTAATGGAGCTTTAATTTCCGTTCGAAGATTGAGGCGCTTGAGCGCTCATGGTAGTTGTAGTTGGAAGCCGACCATAGAGCCGTGTACGCAATGCTGCATACCACCCAAAAATTGAGAGTCCATAATGCCCATTAAGCTATTAGGCCCATAGCCCAATATCGTGTTGTTGACCTTGAGTAGGCATCGCTTCGACCCACAAGAAATCATGGTGGGTCTTGTTTCTGCTATTCCACTGTCATTCCAATTCCAAATCCGAGCAAAAAAAAATCCATGCTCCATTGGCCCGTGGAGGATTTTAGTTTATGTGAAGTGGTAGCAATCGCCAATCAGCACGGACTCTTGTTGACAGAATTGAAATTGAGTCATAGGACGTCTTCAATCATGTGTGGTAGTAATTTTTTTTTTTTTTTTTGGGAAATGAATGATACATAATATTTTAATAGGTCATAATAAAAAAAATATTATACAATTTAGATTATTTTAAATTGATAACTTTAATCATTACACAGAGGTAAACATTTTATTATTGAGAATTTTTTTTTATTTAATTATTTTTATTTTATAATATAAATTTATTTTATCGTTTAATACAATTTAAATTACAAAATATAAAATTTATTTCATAACATAGTTTAAATTGAAAAAATCTATATAAGACAATTATAAATCTATTCAACATTTCGTATTTAAAATTAATATATATATTTTTATCACGAGTAAAAATATACAAGCAACGACCAAAACAATGAAAGTTGGCAACCGAAGTTGCTGCAAACGTGAAGTACCTCGTACAATAAGTACATATTCAATATCTTTTATTGGTTTTCTAGTCTAACACAACATAATTTCTCCTACTAATTCAAACTTGCATACAACAATTGCAATACATCAATAAAGCAATCTCTTATTCTTCTATCAACATAAAACCTAGAATTTCTCGAACAATTTAAAGTTTATTAATATTTCGTTCTTCTTTTGTATCATCGGATGCAATTCCTTCATTTGCTCCTCTGTTTTGTATCACCTGACTGCATGCAAATAATTAAAAAGTAAATAAATTAATAAACATTGAAAAAAACCAATTAACATGCATGCATGAGCACTAAGAAAAAGAAATTAGTTTGGGAGACACAAACCGGAGGATTCGAGTAAAGGAGATGGCTGCGGCGAAGTCCCCTGCTTGACGAGCCTTCAAGATTTTGAATGTGAGATTCAAGAGGAGCAGATTCCGAGCTTTCTGCTTGGCGACCAGTTCCATCTCCTGTCTGAGCTGCACGCATTGCTCATTGATGTGTTCCAACTTTTCTCTCAAATCTCTCTGGTCTTTCCGAATTCGCTTCTGATCCATACTTATGTCCTTCATCTCCAATCTCAATCGCTTCATATTTCCTCTCACTGCGTTCTGCTTCCTTAGTAATAAGGATGTAGAAAGCCTTCGCGCCATGGGCTTCAATTGAATTGATTAGTAGATGATCAGATTGTATTCTTCCAACATTATTCCAATATATAAGTTGATCTCAGTATATATAATAATCATGATTCGAACCGCCCTCGTCAATTAATTTAGATGAAAAAATGGGAAATGTCAGAGAAGAAGCTTAAGTCGGTTTATAAATGTGTAGAATCTTCTTTTGCTTCAACACGTAATCGATGATGAACAGACGATAGTGATTTTTCTTGCCCTGCAAGGTCCGACGCGTTTATCAGATTGATATTTGACTGTCGGAAATATATCTAGCATGATGAAAAAAAAAGAAATATTTTATCAGATAGTAAGCAATGAATCAAGTCACGTGGGCAATGTTGCTTCTTCTTTTAACATAAATTATATAATATCTGTCATTGTCAAAGGACTAATATATAAACCTAGTACAGTGTGAAACTGTGAATAAATTAATTCCTCCAATACGTTTGGATGGTGAAATATTTATAACAGAGATTCATTGTCTCCAAAACTATCTTGGTTTGACAAAGCATATGGATATGGTCATTGGTCAACGTTTAATTACCTTTAAACAAACATACTGTACACCGCACAGAAACAGGCCCACAGAGCAGTCTTTCGACTAAGATTCTTTCTATCAAGAATTCTCCAGGAAGCTTCACTGCGTTTTTCTGTCTATCCGAGCATGGAAGATGCTCTGCCCCAGCGTACTCACTTGTCTCGTAAAAGCTTCAAACTTCGTTAGAACTTTGTAGCGGTTCGAATAAAACGATCAGATGTCTGGCGCTTCATGCTAGAGAAACCCCGCGAGAGCGCAAAATCTCAAAATCTAAAAAGCCCAAAAGCATATTTAACAATATTACCATTTTTAGTCCAGTATCGTTGGGTTTGGGCATCCATTGAGGCACGCCTCAGTTAGATTGACGTGGCAAAATCACGCAAAAGCTCAAAGGCGCAAAATCAATTTCAATTTGACGTTGTATGATAAAACAAATAAATAAATATCCAAAAAAAAGGAAGAAAACCAACATCTGATCCACGTGTCCTTGCGTTTCTTCAAGTTCGGAGCAAAATAGTTCTGTAATGGCTATCTCCGCTTCATCCCTTGCCCCCAGAACTTGTCCTCGCTCTCTCTCTTACGCCCCACTTCCTCTTCCTCCTCAATTTTCCTTCCATTCGCTCCACCTTCCTTCAAAACAGCTCTTCCACCCAAGAAGAGCTTTGAGAGAGTTGCAGGAGTACGAGGAGGCAGTGAAGCGCAAGGACCCTGCTAGAGCTCTTAGGTTCTTGAAATCAATTGAGAAAGACAATGGTGACCCAGTTGAGGAGAAGCTCAAAGATGTTTCTTTGTCTATTGAGTCGCCTCAGCCCCAACTGGGAGAGCTGGGGTTTGTTGGGGGGTTAGAGAGGGATTGGGAGGTCTTGGATACTTGTTTGAATGCTAGTGATATGAGACTTGTGGGTGGTCCTTATGGGTTTCTAAAGGACAGAGGGTTCTTGCCCAATTTTGGAAAGTTCAGCAGTATAGGTGCTTTTTTAGTTTTTATTTATTTATTTATTTATCTTATTAATTCCAGCAAAAGGATCTTCATTTATATCTTTTGGTTTTGTTTTGTTTTTTTTTTTTTTTTTTTTATGTGTGTCCTCAGTTAATAATTAATTTGACAGTTAACTAGAAAAGGGAGAAAATGGGTTAATAATTAAATTCTTTAAGTTGTTGCATCATCTTGATTTGTACTAGTTTGCATATAGAAGTCTTTGCAACTTCAGTAGATGCATGGTTTTAGATGATTGGGATTGGAACAATGTATATCGTTCTATTATGTTTGGGTTGTTTTATGGTGGTTAGTATTTTAGCATTTGGTTTTGATCTTAGAAAATAAAAGTAAAATTTCATTGAAATAGTTATGGATTACCTTT